CACCCCACCCCCAGGCAGCAGGGAACAAACAGTGCTTTGGAGTCCCCAGGGAACCTTTGAATCAAAGACTGTCAGAGCTGGAAGGAACTCTGTAGTTTACCCAACCCCCTTATTTTCCTCAGGTGAAAACCCCAGGCTCAGAGAGTTTCAGCAAAGTGCTCAAGGCCGCACAGCAGCCAAGACAGAGACAGGATGAGAGAAAAACCCGTCACTGACACCCAGGCCCTGAGTACCCCACTCCATGGCTCCTCCACAGGGGTATCTCCCTGTCTATCGTCCCCACCAAGGCCCTTCCTCTCCTATTTTTTGAAGACAGGAGACCTCGGAAACTGATGGCTGTGGACGATGCCCCATGGGCCATGGCACCCACGTGGCCCTGCCCACCTAAGGTCAGCTCAAGGGCTCCAAAGAAACTGGATCCAGCCGCAGAGGGAGGCTGAGCTGGGGCACTGCGGGCACCTCCAACCTCACACAGAGGCTCAAGTGTGGGCCTGAGTCGCAGCCCCACAGGGGACAGGGGGCTGTCTCTGGGGGCCTGGGTCTGGGCCCCTCTAGCAGTCTCTCTCAGGCTGTGGAACTCTTTGCCCAGTCTTAATAAAAAAATGGAAAGTTGTCCTCCTTGGTACCTGAGCCAAGCTGAACAGTGAGGGTATGGGGTGGAGGGGACACAGAGCATTCCCAGTAACTGCCTCCCCCCAGCTTGGCAATCAGACCAACTGTCAGTTAATTAGGTCCCCTCTGAGCTCCAGGGAAATGCTCAAAGAGAACCAGGTGAATGAAGATGAAACTGCCACCTCCCCCTGCCAAGCTCCCAATACTGCCCTCCAGACCAAAAGCTGCTTCGGCTTGGCCCAGGACCCAACCTGCTCCCCATGGCCCCCTATCTCCCCGAAAATGACTTGGCGGTCCTCTCACTGCTGTGTTGGGAGCCCACTGGGACTCAGCAACAAGTGACCCCAGCTAGGTTGTGGGTGGGTGAGGGGGTGGCTATCTTCTCCGCTCTCTCCTTCCTCTCCCTCCCCACCTTCTGAGGCCTCCCAGCTCCCAGGCTCTCCTCAAGTTGTCCCTGTGAAGAGGTCTGGCTTCTGTGATGGCTGCTCACCCCGCACCCTCATGCTTTGGCTCTGTTTAGGTCCTGACGGTAGGAGGAGGTCAGAACAAGGTTCTGACGACTCCAGCCCAGGCAGACAGGTTGGGATTAGAGGGGCAGGGCCGTGGGGCAGAGGAGTTGGGGGCCTGCTCCATATGAGGGGTCAGGGGACAAGGTTTCTCACAGCCAACCTGCGCTGGCTGGGACGGGGCGCATGGGTCCCAGTGATAGCCTAGGGAAGGAGGACATTATGCCGGGTCCAGAGGACGGTCCCCCGCCTCCCGGGGCAGCCCGTATTGGCCTGCCGGGATGCTCAGAAGCTCATCGGCCAGAATTCTCCGGCGCGGAGATCAGGACCGAGGCACCGAGAAAAAGTTGCACGAGTCTCCAGCGAACTTCACGCGCTTCCCAGAAGCCCCGCCGGGTCCGAGGCGGCCCGGGACTCTCCGTCGCCCCCATCCCCCAGGCCAGCGCGGATCCAGGAGCGCCCAGAGCGCCAGGCAGTCCCGGAGTGTGCGTGTGGGGGTGCTGCCGGGGATGGGGCACGGCCCCCTTACCATCTCCACCTGGCGGGGGTCCAGCTGGCTGGGGGGCGCGGGCACAGAGAACTGGATCTTCTTGCGGTCTTTGGGGTCCATGGCGGGCGGGGTGGTCGGTGGGGCTGGGGGCGCGTGACTCGGGGTCCGGGGAGGCGCTCCCGGCTCGGCTCGCCCGCGCTGTTCGGGGCGCCGCGGCGACAGCGGGCTGTGAGTGGCGAGAAGGAGAAGGAGGAGGAGGAGGAGGAGGAGGAAGGCTATGCGCTCACGGATAAAAATACCGAGCACGGCGAGGGGAGCGCGTGGAAGGAGGGGTCGCCGCCCGCCCCACCTGCCCCGAGGCTCGCCTGCCGCGCTGGGTCCGCGCCTCAGTCCCCTCGCGCCTCCACCGAGGGCTCCCCGGCTCTCCGATCTCGGTGTCTCTGCCTCTCCCCTTCTTCCCTCGCTCTCAGAGTCTCTCTCCTCTGTCTCTCCGCCCTTCCTCGAGCTCCCTCTCTTCTTCTCCGTGTCTGTCTCTGTCTCTGCCTCTCTCCCTCTCTCCCGGTCTCACCCCTCTGGCCCCAGCCTTGGGGTCCCCAGCCCGTCCCCTCGCCTGGGACTGGCGCCCGGGGTCTTGATGGGAGGGCTCAGGAGAAAGTGGCCAATGAGCACGGAGGAGCGTGTTCTCTCCGGCCCGGGGAGGGCGGGAGTGTGAGCCAGGGCGCGGGGAACAAGCTGGGGGCCCCCTGCAGTCTCCCCAGAACTGGAAGCTGCATTATTGATGGAGTCCTGCTGGGAGGATAAGGGGGAGAAGGGAGGAGGGTGGAGGCCGAGGCGGGGAGGGGGCAGCGGGGAGAAGACTCTGGCTTTAACCCTTTCGTGGCCTGGGTACTGGGAGTTTCACCAGGAGGCCTGTGAGGTCGTGAAGAGAGTGCCACAAGCATGTCAAGCTGTGAATGGGGGTGTCCTAGAAAGTGAGTGAGTGTAAAAGAGCGGATTGTGCGTGGGAGGACACTTGTCAATCATCATGGCAGGGAATGTGTGTGAGTGAATGCCAGGGGCCCTGTGGTGCCTATAGCTAGAGAGTGAGGGGTGGGGGGAGAGTCAGTGTGGTATGAGTGCGTGTGTGAATCTGTGAGTAAGTGTGTCAGAGTGTCACGGATGCAGTGTGAGTGGCAGGGTGTGGGAGGACTATGTGTGTGCTGGGGAGGATGTGGGTGTGGGGGAGATTGTCAGAGGCTGTCAAGGTGATGGGCAGGCGTGTGCCAGCTTGCAGGAGGGTGGGGGTACTGTACCCATAGCTCTAGCCTGTGCAGTGGAGGGGCATGAGGTTGTGATCCTGTGGTTTGGAGGGGAATGTGTCCTTATCACAATGTACCCTGGATTCACGTGTCTCCTGCCTTGTCTCTCAGATCTAATGGGAGGGAGAGAGCACCAGCCTAGGGGGACAGAGTTCGGGGTGTCAGGGGCTGCTTATACCAGTACACGTGCCATCACGTGTGTGTGTGTGTGTGTGTGTGTGTGTGTGTGTGTGTGTGTTTGGTGTATTCAAGAACAGAGCTGAGGGTAGAGGTATGTTCTCATTTCTGAGGGGTGAGCTCTCTCTCTGCAGAGGTGTTTGTACGTGTCTCTGGAGAGGGGGAAGGGGAGGCACTGGCCCTGTGCATTGGAGTGTCCCTGTTTTCCTGTCCAGGCCCTGGGTATCTTTGCCTGCGCAGCATTTTCCCCTGCGGGCCTCTGGATGAGGGTCCGAATGCCTCTCTGTAGCGCTGACAGAGTGCACATGTAGACGTGTAAATTGCATGTGTCTTCCTGGGGCTCTGTTTGTGTTGGCCGTATTCTCTCCTGGTCACGCTCAGGGCTGGGTCAGGAGCCCTCCCTCCCCTCCCCCCCTCCAGCAACTTTTCCACTCCCAGCCCCAGCATGTTGGGTCCTGGGCAGAGTGGGGGAGGGAGCAGGAGGCCAGAGGAGTCTTGTGGAAATGGAGTTAGAGGCATAATGTTGTGCCCCAGAGTCATTGTCCACGGAGGGGCTGGGGGGCCCCGGAGAGCAGAGCTTTGCTCTGAAGAGCTGGAAGCTCTGACTGCTTAGCTCCACTCCCCACAACCCCAGGCCTGGCTCAAGTCCCACTGTGTTTGTTGACTTATATGCTTGTTGGCAGACAGCGGGATGCCAGGATGCTGGTCCAGGGGTGTGGGCATCTCTGGCAGCCCCTGCCTTGGCCCAGACCCTTCTTCCAGATGGGGTGTGGTGGGGAGTGGCAAAGCCCAGTTTGGCAGTGCCTTGTGAGGGTAAATAAGGAAGTTCTGAAACTCAGAAGAGGCATGGGAAAGGCACGGCCCAGGCAGCAACCTAAGCGGCCACTGGGCCAGTGAGAGTCAGAGGTCTGTGGCATCCAGTGCTGGAGGGTGGGAAGGCCCTGGGTGGGATGAAAGGGACAGAGGACAGTTGGTAACTAGAGGACAGGGACAAGGAGGCATCACCACCAGTTGCATCGTGGGGCCCATCAGATCTGAGCGCAGGCTTATTTGACAGGGAGGACTTGTTTATGGAGGTTCTGCCCAAAAGACTAGAGCTCTGGGAGGCCCTGAATCAGGAAAAATGCCCCTGACCCAGGCTGGGGCAGCTGGGAAGGGAGGCTCTTCCCTCTCAGCCAGGCCTGGGAGATGGAATGTTTGGGGATGGAGGAGAGAGTGTTTGCCCTCTTTCCCCAGCCTTTTTGGCACCCACAGCTCTGGCTGCTAAACCCAGGGTAAAGAGCAGGCGAGGCTGGCTGACAGAGGTACAAGCACAAGGGACAGACAGACAGGAAGGAGGAAGAAAGGAAGGAAGGATGACAGAGATAGGAGACGAGAGAGAAAAGAGGAAAGATAGGAAAAAGCAAAAAAGAGACAGAGAAAACCCATGTGAGAGATGGAGAGACAAAGGGAGAAAGAAAGAAAGTGTCACGACGATGGAGAGAGGCAGGAGACAGAGATGCAGAGAGAGTAAAAATAGCTCAGCATTAAGATAATTGCAGCTCACAGCTCTGCCCTCCGTTAGGAATTAAATGAGGTTTTATTACTTTGATTTTTCTCTCCTGGATCCTACGCGACTTCTCAAGAACTTGGGGAAAAGTTTTTCAGGTGGGCGGCCAGGTGGCGGGGGCTGCGTTGGTGACAGAGGAGGAAGGGAACAGGACTTCTGGAAACTGGGGGAAGTGTGGGCAGGGGCAAGGAGTGGGGAGGGGCTGTGAGGATGGGGGAGCCCAACAGAGGCTGGGGGAGGCAGCCAGGATCAGGCACATCCTGGAGGGACTGAGAAGCAAGGGGCTAGGGTGATCTCCATTTTCTTTGACTTAGAATTAATCACATGCAAATGAGATGTAAAAATAATATGCCACTCTTCGGGTATTATTTTGAGTTAAAAGCACAGGCGGTTGGGTCCCAAGAAAAAATTCAAGACCTTGTTTGCCATAACTCCGATTGAACTATGGATCTTTCTGCTTGGACTGACCAAAAAAAAAGTTTATTGCAGCATGTCTATTAATGTACCATAGGTCTGAGCACACTATTTTGAATACACCATTTCTTTGCACGTCATTGGCCTGGTGCTGCCACAGTGCCCGCCATACAGGAGGCACAACATTCACTGTCTCTGGAAGGTGAATTTGGGAGGGTGATGTGAGGCATTTGCCCTCTTTCTGGGAGGTGGGAAGAGTGGACATTCCCTCCCTTCCCCCAAGCAAGATAGTCTCGAGGACAGAACATAAACCGGGGAGTTGGGCAGACCTGGGGAAGAATCTTAGGCCTATAACTTACTTTGTGACCTTAGACAAATTTCTTATGCTCTCCGTGCCTCAGTTTCCTCGTGTTTCAAAGCCCGCCTCACATGGTAGCTGTGACGATTCAATAAGATAAAATGAACAGAAGGCAATAGGAAAAGGGGAAGACCAGATATGACATGGATGGACTCCATAAAAGAAGCCACAGGCATGAGTCTACAGGAGCTGAGCAGAGCTATTGAGGACAGGACATTGTGGCCATCACTCATTCATAGGGTCGCCAGGAGCCGGAGCTGACTCAACTGTAAGAACACACACAATAAAGTCCCACCCAGTGCAGAGCTCCCGGTAGGTCTTCAAGAAAGGTTCCAGCTACCTTGGAGCTCTAGGGGTGTAGTTCCTAAAAGGGACAGCAGGTGGCAGAGTCGGCCAGGGTTTGGGAGGCTGCCCTGCTGGCTGGCACGGTGGGTCTGTAGTTAGGCATCACACCCGTGACCTTGGCGCCACTGAGCTGAAGCGAGCTGGCCGGGTTGGCACGTGGCAGCTGGAAGGGAGGCCCCAGGAAGCTCCGGGAAGCAGCTTTAGAGAAGCCGGGGAACGCTAGCTGGGCACACTGAGGCACCTTTCCCTGCCATTGATGGGGGGAGGGACGGTGGCCGGGATTCCAAGGTCCGCCTTTGGGGAAGCCGGTGGACACCGAGAGGAGAGGGCAAGGGCGATCTCAACAGGGACAATGGTGGCACCTGGACAGGGGGCAATCTTCTGAGACATTCATTCACACATTCATTCATTCATTCATTCATTCATTCATCCATCATCCATTCCTTTGTCCATTCAATAAATTCACATTGGGTGCTTTTTAAGAAATCAACTTTATTCAGTTAAAGCTTACATATAATAAAATGTACAAATTTTAAATACACATTTCTATGAATTTCTGGAAAATTTGTAACATGACCACTACCACAATACGGCACACTTTCATCAGCCCAAAACGTTCTATTTTGCTCCATGCAAATCAACCTCCCCTCCCCCTCACTGGGTGTATCATAAGTCTTAGTACACTATTTTGAGACGTGTCCTTCCCACCGTCTGTCTTCCCATCATCGCCTGCCTGCCATAGTGCCCAGAATACAGTAGGCACTATATGCTGTAGAGAGGATGGGTTGAGGAATGAATGGATGGGTGGATACATAAGTCATAGAAATTGACAACGGGTAACATATATGGAGCATTTACTCTGTGCTGGGCACTGGGCTAGGCCCTTTATGTGTATTACCTCATTTAATCCTCATTAGTATCATTCCATTTTACAGATGAGGTAAATGAGGCTCAGAACTTTTTGCCCAGAATCTGGGTTCGAATGCAGACAGCCTGACACTAGAGCTCTCTCTCTCTTTACTGCTGCCTTTAATATTCAGGATGGGCGAGTGGAAGTTCGCTTGTATGCACTGGACTGACCTCTCTTACTCAGCATTGGGCCAGGTTTCCCTCTCACCTAGCCTAGTTTGGAGCGATGAGGTGGTGGGGAGCAGAAATCAGTGTGCCAAGGCCGTCCTCTGGTGGCAGACGTGAGTACAGCTGTATCTGTGCCCTCTGGCGCCCCCAGGTGGGATGTTGTTGAGAAGAACGACTAGAAGCCGGCAGCCCACAGCGGAAACAGCCTCAGCCCCGGGCACCTGGAGACCCCCTGCTCTGGCCACTGCCTGGTGCCCCCCGAGGTGCCAGCTGAGGCTGCCCCCGAAGAATGCC